ATTTTTCGCTCGTTCAAATGAACATCTTTAACGTCGTGCTCAGCCGCACAGTGTGCAAAGAACGTTTGAAAGATGCTATGACTGTCCGAGAGAGCACCAATCTTGGACTTGCAACAAAACTTGAAGTCGTGTGCGCCTCTTGTGGCACCGTCGATAAATTATGGACATCACCCCGCAAAAAGGACACTCAGGCCTTCGATGTAAATGTCCGCGCCATAATGGCTATAAAGCAAATAGGCAAGGGGCAAACAGCTCTTAATGACTTTTAGGCTGCCATGAACGTCTCTTACAGAGGTCTTCACCATAAGACGTTTCAAAAGCACTTGAAAGAGACGTTCAGGAAGCCAGAGGCCACCGCTTTGGAGAAGTTTTATGCCGATTCTGCCACAGCAGTGATCAAAACATATAAATAAATGGACCCCAGCGTCTGCAAGGACATCACCGTAGTGTACGATGGCACATGGCATAAGCGGGGTCACACATCACACATCGAAGTGGGAACGGTAATTGACTTCTTTACAAATCTCATCTTGGATGCTGTAGTTCTTTCAAACCACTGCCTTGGATGCTAAACAGGGCCCAAACCTGGAGATGCAGCATACGAAAGCTGGCAGAAGCACCACATTTGCCAGAAAAACACCGACGCAAAATCGGGAAGCATGGAAGTGGAGGCAGGCTTGACTCTCTTTGAGCGGTCTGTATCCAAGCATGGCCTGCGGTACACCACTCTTGTGTCTGACGGAGACAGCCGTACCTTCGCTGCCCTCACAGAAGAGAATGTGTACGGGCTAGTGCCAATTGTAAAAGAAGAATGTCTGAACCATGTTCAGAAAAGGATTGGAAGTGCTCTTCGAAACATTGTGCAGAAAAGTGATAAGCCACTGAGTGGGAAGGGGAAGCTGACTAAAGCCCTCATTGAAAAGCTGACAGGATATTATGATTGGGCCCTGAGAAACAATTCAACTGACCTAACAGCCATGCAGCGTGCAGTGATGGCAACATATCACCACGTCACGTCGACTGACCAGGACCCTCACCATGAACTTTGCCCAGAGGGGGCTCAATCGTGGTGCCGCCGTAGAGCTGCAGAGGCAAAGCGTGAGCCACAGCCAAAACATAAACACAGCCTACCGGACTATGTCGCTGCAGCTATGCTGCCCATCTACGAAAGACTGTCACAAAAGTCGCTTCTTCAGCGCTGCCTGGGAGCGAAGACGCAAAATGCATCAGAATCATTCCACTCCATTCTGTGGTCTCTGATGCCGAAGGAACAACACTCATCCTTGATCCCGGTAGAAACAGCACTGCATGAAGCAGTGCTGCGCTACAATGCCGGCTGCTGCAAAGCAACCCAACTGATATCGGACTCCATTGGACTTCAACCAGGTCATCTGGCCATCCAGCGAGCTCATGAAATGACGCTTTACGCCTAAAAAAAGAATTCTAAAAGACACCAAGAGAAGATGGAGGCCAGGCAAAAGAAGAAAAGAGTGCGCCAGGACACTTCTAGCTACTGTGCTGGAGCTTTTTGAAGAAAACACGTGTTTTGAACTTTCTCGGCCTGTTTTCTAGGAACGGATTTTTTTGCTAGTTGTGGTGCTGAGGAAAGCAAGAACTCGAAAACCGTTCATCAGATTTGTGTGCCGTTTTTTTCTATTCTGTTCCTGAATGACCTTGCAAGGGCGTAACAAGCTCCTTTTTTTTGAAAATTGGTGCTGTTAATTTATAATAAACAATTTTTGATGAATCTGGTCATTACTGGTTACATCAAATTCAAAGTTGCGTGAAAATTTTTGGGGGGGGGGATTAAAAAAAACGGCTTTGTAGCGCCCTGGGATAGCTATCAAGGAATGACCACAATGAATTTCAGCTTTCTACTATGTCCTGGGATTTCTCACGACTCTTCCTCAGGCACCCATGTGAAGCACCCAGTTAAACCTCAATAACTCTGGAACTAAGAAACACAGCTTCGTGAAACTTAGCAGTTGTGCTAGTTTTATTGTAGCGAACAACCCCTGAAAGTTTCATCCAGATATCTTAAAAAATAAAAAAGTTCGGTCTCCAGGGTAGCCTCCCCCCTTAAGGGGGGGAGGATGTGGGGGAGCAGTAAAAGTTGGACCAGTTGGTTAGGATCCATCGTGAACTTATTTACAGCACAACATCAGAAAACACAGACAGGGAAAGAGCAAAAGAGAAAGAAAAGACGGCGCTGACTTACAACTGTTGTTTATTGGAAGCAATGGGGTGAAATGTATATATATAGGTTTTGGCAACTTACATTACGACATGCGCAGAACAAGAGGTGCACCGAGGTAGGGTTGTCACACTTACGGCGACAATCAACATTGGCCTAAATACCTTCTTTTTCATGCAGTGTGACGAATGGTTCACTAATATGCTTGCTACCTCTAATCTTAATTTGATATGCCTCAGCAATTTCTCTTGTCTTAAAAAAATATTTCCAGATTAGGTCTGGACAGCAGTTGGTATGTTAACGTTTACAATAAGCAGTTAAACAGACATCAGTTAGTTGATGTTAGCTGCCTGCGTCTAGGTACTCTTGTGATGATCTCCCTGGCTCGGCACATACCAAAACTGGCATATGAGGACATGAGTGGGCGAACATGACTGACAGGTTGTGATGTGAATTGCAGGACGCCACAGAGTTTCCTATAAACAAGAGGGTGCTCATGTCTATGGGAGCTGCAACGCACGACACTTGAGTTCAAGGACATGATAGGTCTACACAAATTTGTCCAATCTTCGTTAATACAGCTCTGTGTGTCCTGCTTTACCACAAGATTGCAGTTATGCTTCACCACCGTGACTTAATATTAGGCTCACCAATTCAAATCTGCTCCACAGCGGGCCTTTCTTTTATTCCAAACACGACAATAAACAAAGCCACAAGTGCTTTAAAAGAAATAGTGAAACCTTGAGACGATGCTTGGCGATGATTAAACATGAGGGAGACTTTAATAGTGCCGAGCTTTTGTGGTTACATGTGTGTGATTTTTCTCTGAACTGTCCATCACTGCTGTCTCGCATTTGTAGACTGTAGCTTAGACAATCTGCTTCTGACAGCCTTTTCCCGAGCTACCACGTCTCCATCTCATGACGCCAACAATAAATTATTATTCATAGCTATACTCTTTTAACAATTGGCAAATGCTAATGTAGCAGAGAAATTTTGAACATAATGCACTGACCCTCAGCCAGCAACCACATGGTAAAAATTATAAAGGTATCGCATCAATGGTCATGCCAAACATCCGTTCTGCAAGTGTCAAATGTGGTCACTGTGTTGACCACTCTAACAATGCAAAACTTTATGTAACTATGAAACTTTTATTCTAGTTTTCCTGGACGCTGCAAAGGCTGGGCATGTTGGTGAAGCATGACTATAGCAAACCAAATCAACAGAACACACAAGCACTAACTTTCAACAAACTAGTTTTATACATTAAGATGTCACATGCACACAAATGTTGTTACAAAAGGGTGAAGCCAAACATGTGCATGAATCTGCCACTTGAGAAAAAATCACCAAAAGATGTCACATGCACACAAATGTTGTTACAAAAGGGTGAAGCCAAACATGTGCATGAATCTGCCACTTGAGAAAAAATCACCAAAAGATGCCCGATTCTCGCACATGTTTGGTTTCACCCTAGTGTATAATTAACGACATTGGTGTGTATGTCACATAACTCATTCTAATAAACTTAGTATTTGTGAGTTGGCACCTGCCCTACTGCTTCCTAGATGTGGTTGCACTGTTATAAATGCAGATGAGCTCCAAGAGTACATACAAGCAGAAGGACAAACTGACTGTTGGCGAGCCACAGGGCACATACATACTGAGAGTGGAATAGAAAGCTACAAGAAACACACACACTGAATAACAACAGAGTTTATTGTCTAGAAAGCCACAAGTAACATCAACGCTCCCACTACAATTGAGCCCCTTTATAAATGAAAAACTGCAGAGTCGTCCCATACATGAGGTGCATGTCTCTTATAATGCTCATTTTCTTCTGAAATGCTGAGCGTCTCTTATAACCTGTTGTCTCTTATAAAGGGGTTCAACTTAGGTCGGAAAAACAAAGTGGAACTCGCTCAAGAAATATATTTTGCGCTTTGGACTCGCTTTGCGCCTTTTGCGCTTTGAACTCGCTTGGACTCAGACTCACCAAAATTCTCCTGGGTGGAGCTTACTAAGACTTACAAAAATATTAATGAGCCAGACTTCCTCAGACTCACAAGTGAGTCCGAATGAGCCAACTCATGAGTGAGTGAGCCAGCCTATGGGATTAAGTGTACCAGATTCTTCACCTGCATTGAGATTTCGTTTTGCAAAAGGGCAACAGAAGGAGAGCGGACAAATTCTCATTTTCTTTTGGCAAGACCATATCTACATATCACTTTGCTACCTTCAAATGAACGTCTGCATGCGGAGTCAGCTTACAAGAAACCTGTTTTTTCGGGAGCCCAGTGCAGGACAACCTCAACGCTGAAACTGAGGAGGGCACCATAGAGTTTCCTAAATATACACTAGAGGGAACTCTGGCGCTAGTGTCTATGGGAGTTGCCACGCACGGCACTTCAGTGAGCGTTGGAATGATAGGTAGTACTTGTATATTTTTGTACTTCTGACCTGCTTCTGGCGCCGTGCGTGTTCGGGTGGTTCCGAGCTGTTTTCTCACAAAACAAAAATGAGCAAATGTTCCGTGGTTGTGCTTCACCTTTTTTTTTAAGCTTACCATTTGGAATCAAGTCACGAAGTTCCGAAGGGTTTGTTCTTTCCTTCAAATCGAAACGAAAACTCGCAATAAATGAAGCGGCAAGTAGGATTCATCGCCCACAAGTACGAAGACAAGGCAAATTCGTGTACTATTTATCATTCCCATGGTCACTAAACGATCGCTGCGCCAGAGTCCCCTCTAGTTAGTTCTCGGAAACTCTATAGGGGGCACGGCTGAATGCTGAAGACGACTCACCTCGTGCCTCGTCCTTCAGTCGCTGCACCATGAAGCTCATGGCTTCCTTCTCATCCAACTCACTCTCGAGGAACGCATTCCGCTCAATCGCCTGCATTCACCAGACAATAGGCTAGTTTTCTCTGGTGGACACAATATTAATTAGCACAGACGCCAAACAAAGTACAAGGGAACTAGTAGCTGCAACTGAAGAAAGAAACATGGGTAAAAAGACAATTTTCCACCAGCGAAACTGGCAAAAGCTCCATACTTGCCATAACCCACACTTAAATCCTATACAGTGAGGGACGAGCACCACTGTAGCTCAGCATCGGATGCGTTATTTGCACGTTCAGATGGCAGCGAGTTCGCAGTTTTCTTTCTCCATATTTACATCATGATTACTTCTAATAACATCCCCCATATTTTCCCATATTTTCCTTGGCATCATTTTCTGTTAGTTCCCAATAACATTTAGCACCTTGCAGCAATGCATGCGCCAAAGATGTTACAAATATTTTCTGTTAGATTATTAGCGCCATCAATGGGGCTCGTTATTCAAGATCAATGATTAGGTGCACTTAAGCCCAGATGCAGCTCCCCCCCCCCCCCTCCTTGTAAGTGGTTCCACTGCGGTGGAGGGATGCTATACGGTAAATAGAACCTATCCAGTGGAAATTCGCACTACTGCAAAGCCTTACTGCAAAATTAAATTGACACTGCACCCTCGCATATATCCATCTAGCTTATTAAACCGGCTTATATGCTCTAAGTGTAATTAATTTTAAAATGTAGCATACTTTGTCGGTTATCACTTGCATGCTACTGAATATCAAATACTGCTACTATTCAAAGTGGTTTGCTTCCCTTGCCTTGAACCTAAAAAATAAAAAAATTGCTAATGCCTTGTCTCAATTAAAAAAAATATATTGTGCAGGTTAGTCGAGTAAATGCTGAATAAGTGCTATTTCAGTTTTATTTGCAATGATTAGACCAAATCGCCATTTGCTTCGAATTCACTTCAAACCTAAAATTTCCTCTTTAAATAAGCCTAGAAGAAAAAAAAATACAAATGGTATAGACATCGTGGAACAATACACAATAATAAAAGTTGGATTTTCAATTTTTCATTTCATTTCTGCGGAAAGAAACGAAGCCTTGTTGACAACATTTTGATGTAGAATGCTCTGCACATTTTGTGGGCTAACACTGCTCTGCGAAAGTGCCCAGCAGCGTGTAATTTTTGCAGACTGACTCGCAACCACATTTTTGCAGTGACCTGCAAGATGACTGCTCAGTGCTCACAGACTTTTTTAAGTGAGTATTGCATGATCTCCGTTTTCCAGTGATACATGGATGGTTTTGTTGTATGCAATTAAGGAAAATAGCATAGCTTCAGGGGCAAATTATGTTCCACTGTCCTCAAATTTGTCAAATTCATAAGGCATGATTCTATGGCACTCAGTGTTCGCAGCCATTCACAACAAAATGCTGTATTTACTTGCATAATTTGCAGACCTCTAATATCTTTCCAGCTTTATATATATACATATATACATATATATATATATATATATATACACACGTATATATGTATTGACTCACATATTTTGCGTATCCCGACCCGCTGGAGCCAGCTCGCCAGCGCGCATGGAGACTACGGACGGGCACGCAGGGCGCGTGCATTGCGCAACAGGCGAGCGGGCTCGCGTCACGGCACGGACAACTTACTGCACCGGAGGCATGCGAGGGGCTGTCACATCAACTGCTCTGTTCGTTCTGTGTGTTCGCACTGCGACGCACATTTGGCTGATTTCCAAAGTTTAAAACGTCCATCCTGTTTCTACTGTTTGATGGGCTACAGCAATTACATATGCTGCAAAATTCAAGCTAGCTATTACAAAGTTTGCTGAAGAAAACGGGAACACTCTAGCGTGAAGTTCGTCAATGTGCGACGATCGGTAAGGGAGAAAGCAGAAGAGAGTGTGCTTGCTAATACAAGTTTTTTACCATTAAAAAGGCTTTTTAAATTATGTGCGAATGCTTAGGACATCCGGTATTGCTGTGTCATTAGGTCATCCAGTATCAGACAGCATGGTGGAGAAAAGCTTCCAGAAAATGTGGCATTCTAATGCCCATGACAGAACCGAGGACGATGACCTTTAGGAGGGCGGCCGCGACGTTAATTCTCAATCAGACCTGTGTGACCGGATCTGACTGGTTGAATACGTGCTAATTCTGTTAATTAAGAACAACACTTTTTAGTGCTCCAATTTATTATTTTTTTAAATGTATATGCTGCTTGAATGAGGAGTATTTCGTACGCATTCGCAAAATCCTCACATAACTTGAGCACCCCCTTCTCGGAACCCCAAAATTGCGAAAAAAAGTGCGCAAATTATGCGAGTAAGTACGGTATGCTTGTAAGCAGGCACTATCAACACTAGCCTATTTGAAAATGAAGCCCACGAATTTGCTCAATCCAGCAGCCGACTTGTCCTGTCTCTCGCATCGATTTGTTGGTGCAAGGAAAGTTCGTTGGCATGTCAGTGAATAGACTTTTTATATTGCTTTTCCATTCACTGCACATGAATAGTGTGAATCGAATGGGGGTTCCTTCTTGGTCCTCCCTACAGAAGCTTAGCAGGGTTCCCTGCAATTGATAGTTGGACAGAAACCCGCGTGGTCAGGAACAGACATGAAGACAATTAAAACAACACATTGGTCACGATTAAATGCAAACAAAAGCACGACATTTTGGCCCCCATATGGGAGCCTTATTCACAAATGAAAAATGACTGGATGAGCGGTCCGGTTATGTATATTACAAAATGTGACGTAGGCAACATGTGCAGGTCTGCCAAAAATTTCAGTCATTTCGATTGAATGTGTGCGCTTTCGTCTGGAATGTGATAAATTTGTGATGAAGCCCAGATGACCAGTTCTTTTCTCTTTCTATTATTGCGTTATCCCAGTCTATTTCGTGTCTAGACGTTCCCGCACACTAGGGCCACCGCATTCGATTAGACCTTTTTTTTTTTAACATCATACATATGCCGTTTTAGCCTTTGTGAACAATTACCAGCCTCGCTGATGCAACTTCCACTACAGTCTGTGCAGAGAATGCTGTAGAGAATGCCTGAAAATTTTCCTTTTGGCAACTTGTCTTCTGCCCTCACAAGAGAATGCCTCAACTTGCTTGTTGGAACGTGCGCTACGTGTACACTGTAGGGGCGTAGAACAAGCGTAAGGTGTTCGCTTATGTCAGGAATTTCTTGGGCGCAGACAGGAAAGTGTCAAATGCGTTGGCTGATGTCACACGAACTGCACAAACAAGTCAATGTTGCCACTTTGGGTGCGGTCCCGATGCCGGCAGTGAAGTCCTGGGATTTTACGCAAACTCTCCTTGAGCGATTCATCAGCAAGATGGCCACGGACCTTTTGTGAGAGACCAGGTTCACAGAATTTAAATGCGAATAGGGACCAGTGTAGGTACTTTTTCTGTAAACACTGTCTCTTTCGCACTTGACGAGGACGTCTAGGAAAAGCAGTAGGTCGTGCTGCTCCTCCTCTATGGTAAACTTGATTGCTGCATTCATGTCGTTCAGGTGTTCAGTGATTTCATTCAATGCCTGCTTCTTGATTATGCTGAAGCAGTCATCCACATAATGTAAAAAGGTCGAGGATGCAAGACAAAATGAGCCAAGTGTGTGAGTGTTGTTCAAGATGCTCCTTGGTCATATTTACTGCCGTTTCTGAAACAGCAGCCCTCATTGCTGTTTTGTGTAACCGCTTGTAGAAGCAACCCTTGAATGTGAAATACATGTTGTCGAGGCAAAATGTCAAGAGGCACCACAAATCCTGGACTCCAATTGGCATACAGTTGGGCAAGGTTGCATCAGTTTCAAAAGCTGAGACACGTGCGTCAACAGCCAAGCCCGTAGGTATGCTGGTGAATAAAGAGTGGACATCAAAAGACACCAGAATATCGCCATCTTCGAGGGCGATGTCGCGCACCTTGTCTATTAAGTCACCAAAATGTCGGATATACGTGTTGCCTTTGCCTACATGTGGTCGCAGCACCCGATGCAGGTACCCGGACAGCTTATGAAGGGGTGAGCGAGTGAAATCTACAGTAGAACCTCAGTCTTATAAATCCTGCGCAATATCTACAAGGCTGGCACAGAACTATTATGGAAAAAAAGGGAGTAGTAGAGGGGCTTGTGTTGAGGCAAAGAAATGCTTTGGAAGGAAGCTTTTGAAAGTCCTGTTGCAGCTTCGATGTAAGGTCCATTCTTAGGCATTGGTACGTGCTGCTGTCTAAAAGCAGAGCCATCATTTTGCTGGCATTATCCGTAGCGTTGGCTTTGTCTGCAGGGTGCAACACTTCTTGTTCTAAAGGCATTTTCTTCTGTAGAGAGCAGTGAGAACTACACTCCAGGCTGAAATCACGAGAGGACACTAACGGCTCGAAAGCAAGACTCGTCATTTCTGGAGGGATCAACTTGCATCACCGCGTTTTACGCAGAACACGTCACTTGGTTTATGCTTGGTGCGGAACTCACATTGAAGTTCAGCCTCAGGCTTGGAACGGAAAGTTCAGTGGCATCTGGCTCATGCGAAGACAAATTTTGTGCAGTAGACATTGCCAGGTTGGAACACGATTAGTTGGTTGATATGTGGGGTTTAACGTCTCAAGACCACCATATGACTATAAGAGACACCGTAGTGGAGGGCTCCGGAAAATTCAACCGCCTTGGGTTCTTTAACGTGCAACCAAATCTGAGCACATGGGCCTACAGCATTTTCACCTCTATCGAAAATGCAACCGCCGCAGCTGAGATTCGATCCGGCAACCTGCGGGTCAGCAGCTCTGGGTCGAAACTCGAGAGCGGGTTTTCGTGATGCAGTCTCTCAAGCTTCCCTCTTGGCTTTGTTCGGCACAGTGGCAATGCATTCTCGCTTTGAAGTTGGCATGCAGCTGAATGCTCGCGCATTCCTTCGGGGACTGGTACTCGAGTGGATGAAGAGCAAAGAGAGCCTCATTCTCGAGTGCTCGTGCTTTTTCTGTGCAGTCTAGAATTCTGGCTTGTAGCAGCAGATGCTCCGCTTTGAAAACAATGCTATTCATGAAGCTGGTAGGCACAGGTCTGTAGAGGTGTAGTGAACGCAGAATAAAAGCGCGTGTTTTGCCCTCGGCTGGTCAAGGAGATGCACTGGAGGACATGAATGATAGTGGCTTGGCCATAAGCTCAGCAAGCTCAGCATAAGTTCATGAAATCAATAGTTGGACAAAAACCCGTCTTGGTCAGGAACAGACATAAGACAATTGAAACAACACACTGACCAAAATTAAATGCAAATAAAAGCACGACGTTTTGGCCCCCGTACAGGAGCCTTGTTCACAAGTGAAAAATGACTGGATGAGTGGTCCGGTTATGTATATTATAAAAAGAGACGTTGGCAACTTGTGTGAGCATATGGAAAGTTTCCGTCATTTCGATGAAGTATGTGTGCCGTTGTCTGGATTGTGATAGATTCGAGATGAGCCGAGATGACCAGTAATTTTCTCTTTCTGTTATCCTTGCGCAATGCCAGTCTATTTTGTGTCCAGGCATTTCCGAGTTTTCGACCAGTGCATTTGAATGAACTGGCCGAGTAATAATATTATGAGGGAATTTATGTGCCAAAACCACGATCTCATCACGAGGGACACTGTAGTAGAGGGATCTAAAAATTTCACCTATCTGGTGTTCTTTAACGTGCACTGACATCACACAGCACATGAGCCTCAGCCATTTCGCCTCCACCGAAATGCGAGATCAAACCCGCGACTTTTGGGTCAGCAGCCGAGCACCCTAGCCACAGTGGCGGACAAAAATTAGAGTAAGACTAAGGTTCTTCAAATGAATCTGCCAGAGTTGCATTAAATTACACTTCAGCAGTAACCAGTTAATAGGGACCTCACCTGATTGAGCTTGGACTCAAACTCCTCAAGAGACGCCACAGTTGCCCTGCAAGAAACAACACAAAAACTCTGGGAGGAGTGCAAAATATGGGACACACAGGGCTGTATGCGTGGCAGAACAGAGCAAAAAAATTAGGCTCATTTGCCACAAGGGCCATAAACCAAGCCACTCCAAACAACGTCAACAACATACAGATATCATTCTTTTACAGCATAAAAAGTGCTTGTTACCCAGAAATTCCAGCCTCACTAGTAGCGAGTGAGAAATCACCTTGTCCATGACCAAAAATTTAACAGACACAAATCCATATTTTTGGTTGAAAGTGACAGTCAAGCTCGGGACTTCTGTATGGCAAGCAAGTATTCTACCATAGAGCCATGCGACTACTTGAAACTGCTCTGGAAAAAAAAAAAAACTACATCAGTGATATGATTAGCTGAAGCAATTTCTGTGCAGCTTCTGCAGCAGATAATATCACGTTTTAGAGCAGCACCTGAGCCTAGCGAAGCGTGTTACCCGGCCCACATTTGCAAACGTAAATGTTTGTATTGTGAAGAAAACGTGCCACATTCAATGAAACGCTCAAAGGTATGTTTCTTACTAAAAATCCAGAATATGTATTAACCCCCTCAACTTTTTTTGCAGCAAACCTACAGATTCTCCAGTCCCATGGCCAGTGCGGATGTCGCACTTCCCCGCCTTGCAGTTCTTATTTGTAATTGAAGGAGGCATTCTCAGATGCATCGGCTAATGTATGGAAGCGCAAGCTACATAAACATTTCGCGCATTTTTTTCTGCTATAAAAATAAATCTACTCTGATGGGCTCCTACACTCAGTTTAAAAGGAGATGAGAACAAAAAACCGAAGCTTTTTCCAAAATTACATACAGTTGAACCCCTACATAAATGTGCCAGGCAGCAATTCTTGTTTTTTATAATAAATGAGATGCCTCTTATTAGCAGGGTACCTTTCCTATTAGTCCGTCTTTCACTGTAGGCACACTGGTGTCTCTTACGCCCCTTTGTCTCTTATATCAGTGTCTTCTATAAAAGAGTTCGACTGTATTTTTGGTTTTTGTTCGCTTTCACAAGTTTCGTTCCTCTACTTGGACCATAAAAAAAAGTGAAGATTATATTTATAGTGACCAAGAATATACTCCAATGGCAAAACAGGGAGGCCCCAGCTGCTGTCTTGGTGGCCCGAAACGACACGGACGGCCACTAGGATTTCTCGCAGCGCCACTGCGCCTTTTCATGTGCGCAAGCGCATGCTGGCAGCGTGTTCTCTGGATAGCGTGGGCAGCGCGGGAATCACTCAGTGCGTGTGCGTGAGCATATGCATTAGTTTGGCGCGTTGAGCCAATGCCACCTAAAGAAACTTCGTCGAGGCCTGGAAGCTCTACCACATACATCAGCGGGCGACGACGCTGGTTGTGTTGTGCGCTGTGTTGGCGCACAACGTAACCGGCAGCGCGTTTGCATCAGCGTTTGAGTCCCTGCAGCATTACTGCGTTTCGACGCTGGACTAGTATCAGACTCTTCACAAGCTAGTGGGCATCCCATGCTAAGTTGGCTGTTGTAAGCAGAGCCAGAAAAGAGAATGTTGCGACATTCTCCATGTGCTGTCAGGCTCTTCGGAGTTGTGATGTGTGCTGCTTGTGTTTGTGCTCGTGTCCTTCGGTGAGTAACCAGATTACGAGCAGCCGCGATGCCGAGAAGTGTTGGGCTCACATTTCTGTGGAAACCATGAATGTACACATTGGGATTTTCGACTGACCAAGGCACGCGGAAGGCATGAATATGAGCTACCCTAAGGGATAGTCAGCCCAACAAAACATGAAAAAGTCAATGTGCTGCTTTTCTTTCGATTCATATATTGTGTTACATCTAGTACCGTGTTATTCCGTGTAACTTTTACCCATGCGCGTATTTTGAAGTATGTTAAGGCCAATACCAGAAATGGGAAGCATAATGCTCTCGCTTTATTGTCAGTTGCAGGTGTTCAAAAAATATTTCAGTCCACGTGATATAAACGCGAAGGCCAGCAACGGCCAGAGGGTGATCCTAGTGTACACGAGACATGCTTTTTTATTCTCCCGGTCCGTGAGCCCGCTTCTCACCTGTAGTCAGTGAGAAGCGGGCTGATCATCCTACTATTGGCCAGAAATCATCACAGACGTTTCATCCTACGTCCGCCACTGTGACATATGTCAGCATTGCAAAAAGCCAAAAACCAAGAGATTCGGATCTCTCGAGCCACTACCACCTGCATAACAACCCTTTGATTTTTCAGCACTTGACACTATAGATGGATTTTCAGGATACGGCTCAACAAAGAAGTTTATTTACTTGGTGATCGACCACGCTACGTGGTATGTCAGGTCATTTCCCCACAAGAACGAAACTTGCGACGCACACATTTCGTGCATCACCGCCATCTTTGCTGCAGGAAAGCCCAAGAAGTTCCTAACTAATTGTGGACCAGCTTTCACAGCTGAAAAATTCAAGCAATTTCTAAAACGCAATAATGTCCACCAATTGTTCTGTTCATGTCCTCCCAACACTCTCAATGTAACCCGGCTAAAATGCAAAATGAATGCGCAGCCACAGAAGTCTTGGGTCAAACATCTTTCGGATGTCGTCTATGAATACCACAGAACCCCACATGAAGTACCACGATATCCACCTTCGTACCTCATGTATGGAATCCCTTCATACGACACAATTTTAGATGCACCAATGGAGAGTGTGCAAGAAGCAAGGAAAAGTGCAATCAAGAACACGCTTGCCTACCATGAGAAGAACAAGATAATTTTGACAAAGAATTCCTACCACAAGATCTCCAACCTGGTGAATTGGTCCTCTAAGAAACACTTTGGCACCCGAACAAAAGATCACGAAAGCTCAGTTAGGTCATGAAAGGACCTTACACAATTCTTCGCAGTCTTTCCTGTGAACTATGAGATCGATGCATAACACTGTTAACCAGAACTACTGACATTTTGCGCATCAACAAACTGCGTCGCTACTATTGTCCCAATAAGTTGACGCTCTCTCGAGGGGAGGGAGAAACGTGTGACGTTTCACGGGTGAATGGGAGAAAGGAAGATGAGGAAAAGGAAGAGCCAGAATAAACTGGTGTTCTGACTGACGCCATGTCTCTCATCCGTTACACACACAACACACACACACATATATATATATATATATTTATATATATATATATGAAAAGCAAGTGAAGGACGGGCAAAACGAAAACTTTTTATTTTTTCTATGTTTCAGCCGGGAACCAGCCTTCATCAGGGAAAACCCTGATGAAGACCGGTCCCCGGCTGAATTGTAGGAAAAATGTTTTCATTTTGCCCGTCCTCCACTTCTTGGTGTGTGTAATATATATATATATATATATATATATATATATATATATATATATATATATATATACACACGCATGCACACTCGCTAATCTAGCTTCCACCACTTAAGGTGTCTCACGCCCTTCCGAGATTTTCAGTTCGTTTTCTGTTATTTTACTTCTTATTTTTGTTTTTGGCAGAACCATCCTTGTTCCCTGCTTCAAAAACTCAGTTGACCTGGTCATCTTTAGTATGTATCGTTCGTTCATGCGCTTCAATCAAAAATCTACACGCATGGTTGCCACAGTGCTTTTAAACACCATGCGCCGTTTATATTTAAAATCTCTTTCACTTGTACTGATGTCGCTATAATGATAAGAGGTGAACGCTGTGCACATGTTACTTTAGGCATTGTGTCTTCACACTAAATGTATTCAGCAGTTTTGTATAATCATGTCGAATCACTTCCGATTGCCATTGCGCATGTCCCAAAACATTTTGGAAATGTATATAATGGCTACGAAAGCTGCATTACATGTCACACTGACGAAGGCTGGCCCACCAGCCACAACGTTTGTGATTATTAAAAGTGTTTCGTCGTACGTCGTGCTTTCTCGCTTCCGTGTGCACACACAATTAAAACCTCATTAATTTCGAACTCAGTTATTTTGAAATCCTGCTTAATTGGAAGGTCCCGTATTTTGCAATGGTCCGGTTAATTCGAAAACTTTGGGTGCAATGTGCCAGTTTGACATCTCGATTTCGTAGCAAATCCGCCGAAACAACGGCTCTTAATAGCCACAAGATAATGCAAAGTAGCGATACTAATAAGTGGTAGCCCAAGCATCCCATGCTCGCTACTTCCAGCACAAAAAAAAAGAAGAAGAAAACGATCTCGTGGTCAACTAAAACGTGTGCTTGTGGAAAATTGGATGTGCTTCACTGCAACGCAGCCGTGACGCGTGGGCAGCATATCGCATGTTTCTAGGAACGTCGGCGGGTCATGGTTTACTCATTCTTTCTGGGATCGTAAAGAAATTAATAAAGGAGAGTTTGGCCGAAATCGCGATGTACGCGAACCTCCGATTGCTGGTTTCTCCAGCAATTCACACCTTTGCACTGCTGGCAGAGTTCGTGCCAGCAACACCTACTTCGATAACTAAGTTTGAAAGTATAAAAGATCCCTTTTCCTAGCCAGGACACATCACGAGTTTCGTCATACTGGTCGTTATTAAATTTCGAATTATACCTAAAAGAACGTGTGAGCGGTCGCATCATGACGTGTTGACGCAACGAGGTGCAGGCGTCATGCTGCCTACGTGTCACTACTCTGTGTTGCAGTGAAGATGTTTTGTTTTCCGCAGGTGCATATTTCAGTTGATCATGCCGCCCCCCCCCCCCCCCCCCCTCCGCAACATGTTTTTTTTTTTTTTTTCAATAGCTGCAACGAGACCCACCGTTCTCCTGTGTTTCCGGCAAAATTAAGACAAGGTATTGTTGAAAAACATAACCCTTGAAGCCGCAAGCTAGCCGGCACAGCAAACAATGAGCACTGATTACTTTGGACAGTTCTAAGCTCCTCGCATCTCACTTTTTGAATGTTCTGTTCATTTGAAAACCTGCCTAATTACAAGTTTTCTCGCAGCCCCAGTGCCTTCGAATTAACGAGGTTTTACTGTATGTATGTAT